CTAAGACGCAAGCGGTTACTGGGTGTGGAAGAATTAGGAACGGAAGCATTAATAATGAGCGGGAGGAGAAAAGCGTAATCAGAAGGACAGTAGATAGCGATTGACATTGCATTTTAATATTTGTAGTTTTAAATTGACTGGAAAATATGGAGCCGGAAGGGAGTTCCATAAGCAAGGCAGTAAAGCCACTAAGACACAAGGAGTTGATGGGTGTGGAAGAATTAGGAACAGAAGCATTAATAATGAGCGGGAAGAGAAAAGAGTAATCAGGAGGACAGTAGATATGGATTGCATTTAAATATTAGAAGATTAAAATTGACTGGAAAGCATAGAGCCAGAAAGGAGTTCCATAAGCAAGGCATTAAAGCCACTAAGACGCAAGGGGTAACTGGGTGTGGAAGAATTAGGAACAGAAGCATTAATAATGAGCGGGAAGAGAAAGGACTTATCAGAAGGACAGTAGATAGCGATTGACATTGCATTTTAATATTTGAAGCTTTAAATTGACTGGAAAGTATGTAGCCGGAAGGGAGTTCCATAAGCAAGGCAGTAAAGCCACTAAGACACAAGGAGTTGATGGTGGGAAGAATTAGGAACAGAAGCATTAATAATGAGCAAAGAAGAAAAGAGTAATCAGGAGGACAGTATATAGCGATTGACATTTCATTTAAATATTTGAAGATTAAAGTTGGCTGGTAAGTATGGAGCTTCCAATAAGCCACGCAGTAAAGACACTAAGACACAAGGAGTTGATGGGTGTGGAAGTATTAGAACAGAACCATTAATAATGAGCGGAAGAGGAAAGAGTTATCAAAAGGACAGTAGATAGCGATTGACATTGCATTTTAATATTTGAAGCTTTAAATTGACTGGAAAGTATGGAGCCGGAAGGGAGTTCCATAAGCAAGGCAGTAAAGCCATTAAGACACAACGAGTTGATGGGTGTGGAAGAATTAGGAACAGAAGCATTAATAATGAGCGGGAAGAGAAAAGAGTAATCAGGAGGACAGTAGATATCGATTGCATTTAAATATTTGAAGATTAAAATTGACTGGAAAGCATAGAGCCAGAAAGGAGTTCCATAAGCAAGGCATTAAAAAATACTAAGACGCAAGGAGTTGATGGGTGTGGAAGAATTAGGAACAGAAGCATTAATAATGAGCGGGAAGAGAAAAGCGTAATCAGGAGGACAGTATATAGCGATTGACATTTCATTTAAATATTTGAAGATTAAAGTTGGCTGGTAAGTATGGAGCCGGAAGGGAGTTCCATAAGCCACGCAGTAAAGACACTAAGATACAAGGAGTTGATGGGTGTGGAAGTATTAGGAACAGAACCATTAATAATGAGCGGGAAGAGGAAAGAGTTATCAAAAGGACAGTAGATAGCGATTGACATTGCATTTTAATATTTGAAGCTTTAAATTGACTGGAAATTATGGAGCCGGAAGGGAGTTCCATAAGCAAGGCAGTAAAGCCATTAAGACACAACGAGTTGATGGGTGTGGAAGAATTAGGAACAGAAGCATTAATAATGAGCGGGAAGAGAAAAGAGTTATCAAAAGGACAGTAGATAGCGATTGACATTGCATTTTAATATTTGAAGCTTTAAATTGACTGGAAATTATGGAGCCGGAAGGGAGTTCCATAAGAAAGGCAGTAAAGCCACTAAGACACAACGAGTTGATGGCTGTGGGAGAATTAGTAACAGAAGCATTAATAATGAGCGTGAAGAGAAAAGAGTAATCAGAAGGATAGTAGATATCGATTGCATTTAAATATTACAAGATTAAAATTGACTGGAAAGCATAGAGCCAGAAAGGAGTTCCATAAGCAAGGCATTAAATCACTAAGACGCAAGCGGTTACTGGGTGTGGAAGAATTAGGAACAGAAGCATTAATAATGAGCGGGAAGAGAAAAGCGTAATCAGAAGGACAGTAGATAGCGATTGACATTGCATTTTAATATTTGAAGCTTTAAATTGACTGGAAAGTATGGAGCCGGAAGGGAGTCCCATAAGCAAGGCAGTAAAGCCACTAAGACACAAGGAGTTGATGGGTGTGGAAGAATTAGGAACAGAAGCCTTAATAATGAGCGGGAAGAGAAAAGAGTAATCAGGAGGACAGTAGATATCGATTTCATTTAAATATTAGAAGTTTAAAATTGACTGGAAAGCATAGAGCCAGAAAGAGTTCCATAAGCAAGGCATTAAAGCCACTAAGACGCAAGGGGCAACTGGGTGTGGAAGAATTAGGAACAGAAGCATTAATAATGAGCAGGAAGAGAAAAGCGTAATCAGAAGGACAGTAGATAGCGATTGACATTGCATTTAATATTTGAAGCTTTTCACTGAAAAGTATGGAGCCGGAACGAAGTTCCATAAGCAAGGCAGTAAAGCCACTAAGACACAATGAGTTGATGGGTGTGGAAGAATTAGGAACAGAAGCATTAATAATGAGCAGGGAAGAGAAAAGAGTTATCAAAAGGACAGTAGATAGCGATTGACATTGCATTTTAATATTTGAGCTTTAAATTGACTGGAAATTATGGAGCCGGAAGGAGTTCCATAAGAAAGGCAGTAAAAGTCTAAGACACAACGAGTTGATGGCTGTGGGAGAATTAGGAACAGAAGCATTAATAATGAGCGTGAAGAGAAAAGAGTAATCAGAAGGATAGTAGATATCGATTGTATTTAAATATTTTAAGATTAAAATTGACTGGAAAGCATAGAGCCAGAAAGGAGTTCCATAAGCAAGGCATTAAAGCCACTAAGACGCAAGCGGTTACTGGGTGTGGAAGAATTAGGAACAGAAGCATTAATAATGAGCGGGAAGAGAAAAGCGTAATCAGAAGGACAGTAGATAGCGATTGACATTGTATTTTAATATTTGAAGCTTTAAATTGACTGGAAATTATGGAGCCGGAAGGGAGTTCCATAAGAAAGGCAGTAAAGCCACTAAGACACAACGAGTTGATGGCTGTGGGAGAATTAGTAACAGAAGCATTAATAATGAGCGTGAAGAGAAAAGAGTAATCAGAAGGATAGTAGATATCGATTGCATTTAAATATTACAAGATTAAAATTGACTGGAAAGCATAGAGCCAGAAAGGAGTTCCATAAGCAAGGCATTAAAGCCACTAAGACGCAAGCGGTTACTGGGTGTGGAAGAATTAGGAACAGAAGCATTAATAATGAGCGGGAAGAGAAAAGCGTAATCAGAAGGACAGTAGATAGCGATTGACATTGCATTTTAATATTTGAAGCTTTAAATTGACTGGAAAGTATGGAGCCGGAACGAAGTTCCATAAGCAAGGCAGTAAAGCCACTAAGACACAACGAGTTGATGGGTGTGGAAGAATTAGGAACAGAAGCATTAATAATGAGCGGGAAGAGAAAAGAGTAATCAGGAGGACAGTAGATATCGATTGCATTTAAATATTTGAAGCTTTAAATTGACTGGAAAGCATAGAGCCAGAAAGGAGTTCCATAAGCAAGGCAGTAAAGCCACTAAGACACAACGAGTTGATGGGTGTGGAAGAATTAGGAACAGAAGCATTAATAATGAGCGGGAAGAGAAAAGAGTAATCAGGAGGACAGTAGATCGCGATTGACATTTCATTTAAATATTTGAAGATTACAGTTGTCTGGTAAGTATGGAGCCGGAAGGGAGTTCCATAAGCCACGCAGTAAAGCCACTAAAACACAAGGAGTTGATGGGTGTGGAAGAATTAGGAACAGAAGCCTTAATAATGAGCGGGAAGAGAAAAGAGTAATCAGGAGGACAGTAGATATCGATTGCATTTAAATATTAGAAGTTTAAAATTGACTGGAAAGCATAGAGCCAGAAAGAGTTCCATAAGCCACGCAGTAAAGCCACTAAGACACAAGGAGTTGATGGGTGTGGAAGTATTAGGAACAGAACCATTAATAATGAGCGGGAAGAGGAAAGAGTTATCAAAAGGACAGTAGATAGCGATTGACATTGCATTTTAATATTTGAAGCTTTAAATTGACTGGAAAGTATGGAGCCGGAAGGAGTTCCATAAACAAGGCAGTAAGCCATTAAAGACAAACGAGTTGATGGGTGTGGAAGAATTAGAACAGAAGCCTTAATAATGAGCGGGAAGAGAAAGAGAATCAGGAGGACAGTAGATATCGATTGCATTTAAATATTAGAAGCTTAAAATTGACTGGAAAGCATAGAGCCAGAAAGGAGTTCCATAAGCAAGGCATTAAAGCCACTAAGACGCAAGCGGTTACTAGGTGTGGAAGAATTAGGAACAGAAGCATTAATAATGAGCGGGAAGAGAAAAGAGTAATCAGGAGGACAGTATATAGCAATTGACATTGCATTTAAATATTTGAAGATTAAAGTTGACTGGAAAGCATGAAGCCAGAAGGGAGTTCCATGAGGAAGGCATTAAAGCCACTAAGACACAAGCGGTTACTGGGTGTTGAAGAATTAGAAATAGAAGCATTAATAGTGAGTGGGAAGAGAAAAGAGTAATCAGCCACAAAGATCAAAATTGTCTGGAAAGCATGGAGGTGCAAACGAGATAGAACTGCGAGAAAGGGAACTGTTAACATAGGACTTACGGCCACATCGAGCCAGCTCATGTGTAAATGGATCAAATATACACACCAGTATAGTATTTTGCTTAAATTTTAAAAAGTCTAAAAGTGAAGAGTTGATCCGAACTATTACCATGAAAGTATTTATAGAAAAGTCACAGAGAGGCAACCTTACGCCGCTGGGAAAATGACTGAAGCCGAGCTGCCAGAGAAGGACCAGTAATATTGCTGAATTAATGAAGGAGCTCAAGGTAAATAGCAGGAGTTCTGGGCAATATGTGGCAGTAATATTCTAAGCATAGATGAATGGTAGACTCATACATATGTAAGATAGATTCTCACAAGACAATGAACCAACTTTCTTAGCAGCTTATCCATCCATCCATCCATCCATCCATCCATCCATCCATCCATCCATCCATCCCAGTCCGTTCACTATCCATCCATCCATCCATCCATCCATCCATCCATCCATCCATCCATCCATCCCAGCCCGTTTACTATCCGTCCGCCCGTCCGTCCGTCTGCCCGTCTGCCCATCCATCCATCTATCCATCTATCCATCTATCCCAGTCTGTTAATATTCATCCATCTATCCATCCATCCATCCATCTATCTATCCATCCATCTATCCCAGTCTGTTCACTTCCATCCATCTATCCATCCATCCATCCATCCATTCATCCATCTATCCCAGTCTGTTTACCATCCATCCATCCATCCATCCATCATCCATCTATCCCAGTCCGTTTACATCCATCCATCCATCCATCCATCCATCCATCCATCCATCCATCTCAGTCCGTTTACCATCCACCCTGCCCATCTATCCATCCATCCATCCATCCATCCATCTATCCATCCATCCATCCATCCCAGCCCGTTTCCACCATCCATCCCGTCTGTCCGTCCGCCCGACATCCATCCATCCATCCATCCATCCATCCATCATCTATCCATCCATCCATCCATCCCAGTCTGTTCACCATCCATCCATCCATCCATCCATCCATCCATCCATCCATCTATCCATCTCAGTCCGTTCACCATCCATCCATCCATCCATCCATCCATCCATCCATCCATCCATCATCCATCTATCCCAGCCCGTTTACCATCCGTCCGCCCGTCTGTCCGTCTGCCCGTCCGCCCATCTATCTATCTCAGCCTGTTTACCATCATCTATCCATATCTATCATTCATCTATCTATCCATTCATCCATCTATCTCAGTCTGTTCACCATCCATCATCTATCTATCCATTCATCTATCTATCTATCTATCTATCTATCTATCTATCTATCCCAGTCTGTTAATATTCATCTATCCATCTATCTATCTATCTATCTATCTATCTATCTATCTATCTATCTATCTATCTATCTCAGTCTGTTCACCATCCATCCATCCATCCATCCATCCATCCATCCATCCATCCATCTATCTATCCCAGCCTGTTTACTATCTGTCTGCCTGTCTGTCCGTCTGACTGCCTGTCCGTCCATCCATCCATCCATCTCCCATCCATCCCAACCCTGTTTACTTTCATCTGTTTGCCTGTCCGCCTGTCCGTCCGTCCGTCCGTCCATCCATTCATCCATCCATTCATCCATCCATTCATCCATATCTCAGTCTGTTAATATTCATTCATCCATCTATCCATCCATCCATCCATCCATCATCCATCCATCTCAGTCTGTTTATTTATCCATCCATCCATCCATCTATCCATCCATCCATCCATCTATCCATCCCAGTCTGTCCACTATCCATCCATCTATCCATCCATCTATCTATCCATCCATCCATCTATCTATCTATCCCAACCCGTTTACCATCCGTTTGCCCGTCTGCCTGTCTGCCCGTCCATCCATCCATCCATCCATCTATCTATCTATTCATTCATCTATCTATCTATCTATCTATCCATCTCAACCTGTTTATCATCCATCTATCTATCCATCTATCTATCTATCCCAGTCTGTTAATATCTATCATCCTATCTATCTATCCATCCATCTATCCATCTATCCCAGTCTGTTCACCATCCATCTATCTATCTATCCATCTATCCCAGTCTGTTCACCATCCATCCATCTATTCATCCATCCATTCATCCATCCATCCATCTATCCCTCAGCCTGTTTACTATCCAACCGCCCGTCTGTCTGTCTGCCTGTCCGCCCATATTCATCCATTCATCCATCCATTCATCCATCCATCTATCTATCTATCCCAACCTGTTTACTATCTGTTTGGCCTGTCTGCCTCTGTCTGTCCGTCTATTCATCTATCTATCTATCTATCTATCTATCTATCTCAGTCTGTTCACCTTCATCCATCCATCTATCTATCTATCTATCTATCTATTCATCTATCTCAGTCTGTTAATATTATCATCTATCTATCATCTATTCATCTATCCATTCATCTATCTCAGTCTGTTCACTCTCTATCTTCATCATCTATCCATTCATCTATCTATCTATCCCAGTCTGTTAACATCTATCTATCTATCTATCTATCTATCTATCTATCTATGTGATAAATACTTTATCTGACTATGTAAATTGTAAATGGAAAAATTGAAATCATTGTCGTCTCACTTTAATTAAGTTTAAAGTGATTGTCTCTCTGGCTGAATTTGGCAAAGGGAGAAACGGTCATTTTAATTTCAACTTTTACTATAAAATTTAACATTATAATTTTTTTTTCATATATATCTGTATGATTTTTATACGATGTTGCATTAATCCAATCGATTACTTTTCTTTAGGGAAATGAATGGGAAAGTGTCTGTTGGAGAAGTGAAAGAAAAAGAGAAAGCGAAAAAAATATTTTCCGAGGCGGTGAATCAAGGAGAAAGCGCTGGTTATGTATCTGTTAAGTAAGTATATATATTTTTGGAATAAGGAAAGACTGCTTTTGTTCTTTAATCTCTTTTTTTTTTTTTTTTTTTTTTTTATTTATTATTATTATTATTGGTACTTGGCCGAGTGGTTAGAACGTTCGCTTTCTGACCATGTAACTCGGGTTCGAATCACACCATGGTCGATTTGTCAGGTAGGAGAACTCTTGATGCTATCAGTCCCAGCGTTTGCAGCTTTGAAAACCGTACCATGCGTTGGCTCAACATTTGTGCGTGAAATTGGGAAGACGGAACCCTTGGGAGCCGTCGATGCTTGTGTTAACACGAAGTTACAAGTCATCGTGACCGAGGGTTTGAGTGTGCTGGCCTTGTGCAGATGGTTGATGACGCTAGATAACACGCTGTCTCACAGAATCTGTAACTAAAGTCCGCTCAGCACAGTTGCAGCATAAACTTTTGAACAAAGGCAAATATGACTGTCAAACAATTTCTGCGACCACATCAACCCTTACGCCTCAGACTGCAACCCTCTTTATTATAATAGGTGAGGCACAGTTGAGCGAGTGACCAACAAATGTCCTTGTAACACCAAAGATGCACTGAAGGCAATGATTAGGGCGAAATCCACCATATTAAACATATCTGTTAAAATCAAAAGACAGTGATATTTTCATTTTGGAATAATTAAGACGACAATTTATCCATCGCACAATGCAATATATATCGCTCTAACTTTAAAGACGTGATCTCATTCCACACAGGGGTTGATAAGACAAACGACCGATACAATCTACTGCCGAAATAGACTATTCCCCATATGAGGTAATTTTGGATTTATTTGTTTATTAAATTCTCTTTTAGGCATGTCTGGCTAAATAAATTACACACGTTATATCAGCTTATTTTTATTATAATCTTTTCATATTCACGAATATTTCTTGCCTTATTTAATTGTAATACACGGAAAAATATCCGTGAATATGAAAGGATTATGATAAAAATAAGCAAACGTGTCTCAGCAACGTGACGATAAACAGCAGAAAAGTTTCAATGGCTCAACAGCCTTCGGTCTGGAAACGCAATCTGATACAGCCTCGCATCCATTACCATTCGTGCGGCCGTATATAAAAATGATACCTTGTTCTTTTATTGTCCTCTAAATCAAAATTATAACATTCTAAATACACATTCTAAAGAACTATGATGGGAAAATAAAAAAAAATTTTCTGTAATATCACCACCAGAATATCATAATGAAAAAGAAAGAAGACATGCTGTTTAACATCTAAAAACATATATGAAAGGGTACATAAGAAATAATTCGAATAGACAAAAGCTAATGATGTCTTTCTCCATTAATTCACATCTTCCTTCCACGTACAACGCAACCGGCGTGCACACTGACATATTAATTTCTAGACGTAAACTGACATGTCTAGATATTTCCATTGAAACAATGTACATTTAAATCTATTTCATGTGTGTCTTTTGGCACGTCAGTGTATATTTCATGATTGTCTTTTGGCACGTCAGTGTATATATCATGATTGTCTTTTGACACGTTAGTTACTAGTGTATTCGAGCAAGTCTGTGCATCATCCATGGATGCATGTTGTCATGTCAGTGTATGTAAAGTTTGATTGAATAAAATCCTAAGTGATTTTAAATTAGATTTATGCTGTCTTTTACTTTTCAGCCACAGATTCTATAATGTATTCGACATGACGGTTAATATAGAGCCGAATAACAAAGTGGTCTTCAACCTCACCTATGAAGAACTTCTAAAACGAACGAATAGGCGATATAAACATCGGATCCTTTTGCCTAACGATGAAATTATTGATAAACTTATTGTGGAAGTTTTCATCTCAGAACCTCAAGTAATTACAATCTTCGAAGAGGATCCCAATAAAGGTGAGTTTTCTTTAAACGGAACACCAGTTAATAACTGACTGGAAGTATCGAAGAGTGATATATGAAAATGGGCTGAAATGTTCGTAGGTTGACAATGAAAGTGCGATGCTAGGGCTGTGAAATCTTGCATGCATTAATTTCAACTCTTCTTAAGAGATGCATTGTTTCTTTCCAGATACGAGAAGAGACTGAAAATTTCATAGTCTTTGAAGGAATGGTGCTTGAGCTGGGAAATCTTGCATGCAATGATTTCAACTCTTTTTAATAACTGCATTGTTTCTTTACAGGTACGAAGATGGGCTGAAATGTTCATCGGCTGATCATGAAGGTGTAATGCTAGAACTGTCAAATATTGCATTCATTCATTTCCACTCTTCTTAATAGCTTCCATTGTTTCTTTCCAGGTACGAGGGTAGGCTGAAAAATTAATAGGCTGACTATGAAGGAAGGATGCTGGAGCTGTGAAATTTGCATGCATTAATTTCAATTCTTCTTATTGGGAACAGCATTGTTTCTTTCCAGGCAAGAGGGTGGGCTGACAAGTTCACAGGCTAACTATGAAGGAGTGATGCTAGAGCTGTGAAATCTTGCATGGATTCATTTCAACTCTTCTTATTAATAACTGCATTGTTTCTCCCCAGGTACGAGGGTGGGCTGAAAAGTTCATAGGCTGATTATAAAGGAGATAGATAGTCGCCATTTTAAAGAGAAGTCGCCATTTTCAAGAGAAGTTACGTTTGAAGTCTTCTTTGAACAGTCAGATGTCAGTTGAACTGGAAGGAAATGATGCAGTTAAAAAAAAGCAAAACACAAAAACAAATTTATATTAACATCGAAGAGCATAATTCTTGGACTCACGGTTGCCCATCGCGTATCATTGGTTTTATCTCAATTGATATGGATTGACTAAGAAAATAATTAAGGCCTATGAACCTTTCTGCTCATCCTCGTAAGCTGTCCAAGATAGCTAGCTAGCTAGCTAGCTATCTTGGACAGATAGATAGATAGATAGATAGATAGATTGAAGAGACTCGGATATAGATAGATAGATAGATAGATAGATTGAAGAGACTCGGATATAGATAGATAGATAGATTGAAGAGACTCGGATATAGATAGATAGATAGATTGAAGAGACTCGGATATAGATAGATAGATAGATTGAAGAGACTCGGATATAGATAGATAGATAGATAGATAGATAGATAGATAGATTGATTGAAGAGACTCGATATAGATAGATAGATAGATTGATTGAAGAGACTCGGATATCGATAGATAGATAGATAGATTGATTGAAGAGACTCGGATATAGATAGATAGATAGATTGATTGAAGAGACTCGGATATAGATAGATAGATAGATAGATTGATTGAAGAGACTCGGATATAGATAGATAGATAGATAGATAGATTGATTGAAGAGACTCGGATATAGATAGATAGATAGATAGATTGATTGAAGAGACTCGGATATAGATAGATAGATAGATAGATTGATTGAAGAGACTCGGATATAGATAGATAGATAGATAGATAGATTGATTGAAGAGACTGGATATAGATAGATAGATAGATAGATTGATTGAAGAGACTCGATATAGATAGATAGATAGATAGATTGATTGAAGAGACTCGAAGATAGATAGATAGATAGATTGAAGAGACTCGGATATAGATAGATAGATAGATAGATTGAAGAGACTCGGATATAGATAGATAGATAGATAGATTGATTGAAGAGACTCGGATATAGATAGATAGATTGATTGAAGAGACTCGGATATAGATAGATAGATAGATAGATAGATTGAAGAGATTCGGATATAGATAGATAGATAGATAGGGACTGGATTAGATTAATGCAACATCTTAGAATTATTCAGATATATGAAAATTAATTCAAAATTATAAAGGACGTTTCTCTCTTTATGAAATTCAATCGGAAATACACTTAATTTAAACATTTAATTAAATGCAGGAAACTTTCAAATACTGGAATAAAAACTAAAATTTTTCCATGAAAAAAGTTCAATACGTAGGCCATGTCTGGTCAGACGACATAAAATGGAGAAACAAAGAGCAGTGATTCGATCTCTGCTCGGAAGGTGTGTCAGGGGCTGAAACAGGCTTTGAACACAAAATGGCGACAGTGCACTACCGGGTTGAACGTCTGTATGAGTTGTTCGAGAATTCTAAAATTGGCCGGACGAACGGAGAAGGAGCAGGAAGGCTATTAACCTCCACCACTGATGAGAAGTTTTAACAATTTTGAGGGATAGAAATGGCAAACCGACGATTTATCGTCTATGAATTATAATGTTCTCTGCAGATTAAGATCACTGCTTTTTGTTCCACCTTGGTGAACACTGCTAGCGGAGTGGCCATGTTTACACTGTAACAGTCGCGAGAAAACTGGTGCGATCCAGTTGAAACTTTGATCACCTGACTAAATTAGTACCAAAATATAAACAGGCAATACGAAAAAACATAAAATCTTGCATGCATTAATTTCAACTGTTCTTATTAATAACTGCATTGTTTCTTTCTAGGTACGAGGGTTGGCTGAAAAGTGTAGTACTGCGCTTAAATTTATAAAGTCTAGGTACCACAGAGGCGTTTTCACCAGAATAATTAACATGAAAATATTTATAGACAGGAAGGTGGCGGTGGGAATATGATTGTAGCTGAGATACCAGGTCAGGACCAATAATATTGCACAGTCTTCTTTGGATTTTATCAAGATTCTCTGCATCCATAGTAGAAGCTACAGAGGAGATGCAACAGCAATATCCAATTCAGGGACGAATGGTAGACTTAAAGATGTGAAAAATATTAGAGTATCAAATTGAGAATATGAGAAAAAGAAAACACTATTAAGGAGAGAGGACAATAAAAGAGCAATAATTAAGAAGACGGAAGATAACGATTGACATTGCATTTAAATTTTTGAAGATCAAATTGAGAATATGAGAAAAAGAAAACACTATTAAGGAGAGAGGACAATAAAAGAACAAGAATTAAGAAGACGGAAGATAACGATTGACATTGCATTTAAATTTTTGAAGATCAAATTGAGAATATGAGAAAAAGAAAACACTATTAAGAGAGAGGACAATAAAAGAGCAATAATTAAGAAGACGGAAGATAACGATTGACATTGCATTTAAATTTTTGAAGATCAAATTGAGAATATGAGAAAAAGAAAACACTATTAAGAGAGAGGACAATGAAAGAACAAGAATTAAGAAGACGGAAGATAACGATTGACATTGCATTTAAATTTTTGAAGATCAAATTGAGAATATGAGAAAAAGAAAACACTATTAAGGAGAGAGGACAATAAAAAGAGCAATAATTAAGAAGACGGAAGATAACGATTGACATTGCATTTAAACTTTGAAGATCAAATTGAGAATATGAGAAAAAAAGAAAACACTATTAAGGAGAGAGGACAATAAAAGAGGAATAATTAAGAAGACGGAAGATAACGATTGACATTGCATTTAAATTTTTGAAGATCAAATTGAGAATATGAGAAAAGAAAACACTATTAAGGAGAGAGGACAATAAAAGAACAAGAATTAAGAAGACGGAAGATAACGATTGACATTGCATTTAAATTTTTGAAGATCAAATTGAGAATATGAGAAAAGAAACACTATTAAGGAGAGAGGACAATAAAAGAGCAATAATTAAGAAGACGGAAGATAACGATTTACATTGCATTTAAATTTTTGAAGATCAAATTGAGAATATGAGAAAAAGAAAACACTATTAAGGAGAGAGGACAATAAAAGAACAAGAATTTAGAAGACGGAAGATAACGATTGACATTGCATTTAAATTTTTGAAGATCAAATTGAGAATATGAGAAAAAGAAAACACTATTAAGGAGAGAGGACAATAAAAAGAACAAGAATTAAGAAGACGGAAGATAACGATTCACATTGCATTTAAATTTTGAAGATCAAATTGAGAATATGAGAAAAGAAAACACTATTAAGGAGAGAGGACAATAAAAGAACAAGAATTAGGAAGACGGAAGATAACGATTGACATTGCATTTAAATTTTTGAAGATCAAATTGGGAATATGAGAAAAGAAAACACTATTAAGGAGAGAGGACAATAAAAAAGAGCAATAATTAAGAAGACGGAAGATAACGATTGACATTGCATTTCAATTTTGAAGATCAAATTGAGAATATGAGAAAAAAAAAACTATTAAGGAGAGAGGACAATAAAAAGAACAAGAATTAAGAAGACGGAAGATAACGATTGACATTGTATTTCAATTTTAAAGATCAAATTGAGAATATGAGAAAAAGAAAACACTATTAAGGAGAGAGGACAATAAAAGAACAAGAATTAAGAAGACGGAAGATAACGATTCACATTGCATTTAAATTTTGAAGATCAAATTGAGAATATGAGAAAAAAACACTATTAAGGAGAGAGGACAATAAAAGAACAAGAATTAAGAAGACGGAAGATAACGATTGACATTGCATTTAAATTTTGAAGATCAAATTGGGAATATGAGAAAAAAGAAAACACTATTAAGGAGAGAGGACAATAAAAGAGCAATAATTAAGAAGACGGAAGATAACGATTGACATTGCATTTAAATTTTTGAAGATCAAATTGAGAATATGAGAAAAAGAAAACACTATTAAGGAGAGAGACAATAAAAGAACAAGAATTAAGAAGACGGAAGATAACGATTGACATTGCATTTAAATTTTTGAAGATCAAATTGAGAATATGAGAAAAAGAAAACACTATTAAGGAGAGAGGACAATAAAAGAACAAGAATTAAGAAGACGGAAGATAACGATTGACATTGCATTTAAATTTTTAAAGATCAAATTGAGAATATGAGAAAAAGAAAACACTATTAAGGAGAGAGGACAATAAAAGAGCAATAATTAAGAAGACGGAAGATAACGATTGACATTGCATTTAAATTTTTAAAGATCAAATTGAGAATATGAGAAAAAGAAAACACTATTAAGGAGAGAGGACAATAAAAGAGCAATAATTAAGAAGACGGAAGATAACGATTGACATTGCATTTAAATTTTTGAAGATCAAATTGAGAATATGAGAAAAAGAAAACACTATTAAGGAGAGAGGACAATAAAAGAGCAATAATTAAGAAGACGGATGATAACGATTGACATTGCATTTAAATTTTTGAAGATCAAATTGAGAATATGAGAAAAAGAAAACACTATTAAGGAGAGAGGACAATAAAAGAACAGGAATTAAGTAAACAGAAGATAACAATTGACATTGGCTAAGATAAATATAAGATAAATCTGATATAGATATATAGATAGATATAAACTGCATGAGATAGATAGAAAGAAAGAAAGAATAACAAAACGAGATAGATGGATAGATAGATAGATAGATAGATAGACACAGAATATAAGAAATCATTAAAACAGCATTATAATTAATATAAATTTGTACACGTGTTAAAAATAAATGTTATCTTTAAGTTTTGGTTCTGTCTGAAAAAAAGTGAGATGCAGCATTAAATTTTGTCCGCCATTTTTCAATCTCTTCCCCGATGTCACTGGCTGTGTTTCTTTAGTTTGTCCACAAGTTATGAATAATATACAATTTGATTTTGTCTGATAAATATTTCTGACTTATTTCTGTTGCAGAAACCAGTGTACGTTCTTTGGAATATATAGACAACAAACATGTCTACATAAAGTTTGACCCAACCAAAGAGGAACAAATGAGACTGATTGAAGCTGGCGATAGACAATTCGTCGTTGAATATGATGTGGAGCGTAAAGATTCAAACTTATTATATGTAAGTAATAAGCAGGCTCTCTTAAATTACAAATTTCACAAAGTATTCATTATCTATCTATCTAGCTAGCTAGCTATCTCAGTATAGCTATGTATATCTATATATCTATCTACCTACCTGTCTATCTCATGATATATATATATATATATATATATATATATATATATATATATATATATATATATATATATGAATCAATCTATCGCAGTCTGTTTCTGCTCATCTATCTCAATCTTATATCTATCTTCTAAATATATTAGGACGTTTCATTCATCTATCTATATAGCTTTTTAATATCTAACTATATATATATATATATATATATATACATATATATATATATATATATATATATATATATATATATATATATATATATATATATATATATATATATATATATATATATATATATATATATATATATATATATATATATATATATATATATATATACATATATATATATATATATATATATATATATATATATATATATATACATATATATATATATATATATATATATATATATATATATATATATATATATATATATATATATATATATATATATATATATATATATATATATATATATATATAAAACAAATGTTTGAGGTACAAAATTTATATAGTTTTAAAAACCTAGAATGTATTGATTTTAATTTTAAAAGTCTCTAGGCCTTTCAGTCAACATCTCATCAGGAGGCAATCGTTGGATCAACGAAAAGAAATATTAACGACAATGAAGAGCAAAAGAGGGGGGAAACATTCCAAATAACAAAATAAGTGTATATACTTGTAACGAGGGAGGGAAATAATCGTGTAAATAAATTATGAGGGACAGTTAAAATAAATTATCCCCAACAGATTAAGAGATTTTATAAATTTTTTCTGCCGGCAGAGAGAAGGTTTCTTATCTTATGCAGACCGATTCCAAAAATCTTCAAATGATTGTTGAATGGCTGTATGAATAATTCTAAACCACTTTTTTAAACAATTTGGCAGGCTATATTTTCAACTAAATGTTGAGCAATAGCTGATTCCATGTTCATGGGGAAGATAGCATATTCTATCTATCTTACCAAGTCGTATTTTAGAAGGTACATGCTGATTGATTCTAGTTTCCAAATGCAAGGTTGTACGCCCCATATAACCAGCAGCACACTGGCAATTAAATCTATATACTAAATTACTCAATTTGATGTAGGGCAATACATCCTTGCGAAAAGACGGAAACGCAGACCTAGTTCGAAAATGCTACGTAAAGCAACTGATGGGAAACAACCGAAACCGACTTGCTAACCTGCTTAATTAAGGCTTGACTTCATCCCCAATCCAGGGAATCTTCAAAATAAACCAGACATTTAGAAG